CAAGTTTCTCCTCTGAAATCAGTCCAAACCTATTCAATATGTACTGCTGCATTCCAGTGGATTTATCAGTTGGCCAATATTTGCTCTACTTCTAATCACTGAGGCCAAGTATGACGCGTCTGGAATGACCCCAGGGAAGAGGAACGCCACAGTCGACAGCCTCCAGTCAGGGCAGACGCCACAGACTGTTATTTCTCTGAAGAAGTCATAAAATCGTCTTTTTATCTGTTCCCATCTGTCTGTCAGTGGTATTGAGGCAAACTATCTTCTTTACCAAATCATAAATTAGGTGGTCATGAGTTTGATTGTAGAGGCTATTTGTCTGTGTGTGTGATTGTAGAGGCCACTATGTCTCCAGGTTATACATCTGGGAGTCATGGTGAGCCATTAGCAGTCAGGAAAGCACCCAGCATCAGACATGCCACTGTTTTTCCCCTCCCCTGGCACTGATACACCTGTAGGCCTTTCTTTCAAAGACACCCATCTCCATTTTCAAACATCAAAGTTGCCTTTGAGAGAGCAATTCGCAGTGAGGGCGAGCCTTTCATGTGATTTGTGGAGCATGGGCGTGGCCCGTGGGGGCCGACTTAAAGAGATGGACACACCTGGCAGGTGCATGAACTGAGCACACGCAAATGCATACGCAACAACACACATGCTATCTTTTTGTTGACTTTACAGAGAGACTGCAATATCACAGGAAAAATAACACAGCAAATGTCATTGTTTGTCTATTTGCATACTTTGTACAGTCTGTGTGCCAAATGCAAATAGAATCAACCCGCCAACTCCAACATGCACCCCGGCCACCCCAACCCCCCCACGCCCGCCATTCTCCTGCTGGAGCTGTGTGAACACACCCAGCCAAGTAAACAGAGGCAACAAAACACGACAGCACTTGTGGATGTGTGGGCCTGTGGGTGGGAAGGTGCATGAGCCCTATCTGAACATATGCAGGTATTGCATGTACACTGTGTATAATAGTGTTAGCGGTTAGGGTGTATTCATGCGTATCATTTTCAAGTCTCATCATACAAATTGCCACTTTGACCTCACTGAGGCGCCGTACAACAGGCTTCCATATCCTCAACATTCAGAAAACAACTGTGTCTCCTTTCTGTTTCCGTAACCTGCTCAACCCACAGACCTCTGGCTGGGAACAACAAAGGGTCTAAAATTTTGAGAAAAAAATTTGAGTAAATAATAAATGCCTACTAGAATCAAGTTAAACTTAATTCTGAGTTGTTGTTTTTTTTAAATTGCTTTCTGATTGTTCAGATTCAACTGTAGAATTGTTCCTTTTAACTTCAGGGTCCCACACACTTGACCTTTGAGGGTTTTCACACACAGATAGCAGCTTTGAATCTGTTCTCATATATTCACAGAAATAGATTTTTTTTTAAAACCTCAATTTCAAATAATTACCCATTCTCAGTTTTTTCCTGTATCTTCAGATCTTTTCCGCATTACTAAATGATAAATGATGATCACGTCACAACACTTTTAAAGTGAAAATAGTTTTGTTTTTTTTACATGTTCACACATTCAAATGATTCAGGCTCAAAAAGGAAGACATACACTCACCCCCCACAATGTGAAAAATTATTTCTGAACTTCATTTCACAAGCTCATTTCGACCCGTTTTTGACCCAGCCTGCTCTGTGGTGAAAATAAGCCGCTGATGTCATATATAAGTGAGGGAGTGAGGGAGTGAGAACAGCACCTAAAATATAGTCGTGGGATTAATTGGTGAGAATGATCCTGCAGGGTGCATTATGCGTGTGAGCGGTGGTGCAGAAGCATGACAGCAGCGACAGGGAGGGTCTCCACACTTACATCATCTGCTTTCCTTTTTTTGTATTTCTGTCTTTTTTAGCTCAGCATGCTCTCTCTTGTTGTTGGATGTGTTTGACATGTTGTTAAAGCTGCTGCTCGGATAGAGGTGCGTGGAGAATTTTCAGCTGCTACAGTTGCGCTTCCAGTTTTTTCTCAGCAGAAGTTTGATAATATAGTATGACAGATAGATCATTGCATAGGGGGGTTGGTGGTGGAAGGGGTTTGATGACGAATGCCGGATATGTGATGAGGAAATCAGCAGCAAGGGAGACAAAAATACTTAGTTGAACATTTAGCCTACTTTCTGTTCAGGGACAGAATGCTGTCTGTGTGTGTTTATATCCATTTATGTGTGTGTGGGCATGTGAAAATAGACAAGTGTACACATTTGTACCCGTGTGTGTCTACACACTTACTGCTGCTAAGTGTTTTCAGAAGGTATGGTGTTCTTTGTTACTCTGCCGCAGGCAAGGCACCGCTGCAGTCCTGTCCGTCAGGTTCTCCTGACTGGGATCAGTAAACATTAATAAAACCTCCTCCCCGTCTGTGCCAACTCCTGCCGTGGCTCGGCCGGCAGCCATGCAAATGCAGGCCCTACGCAAACAGCCTGTAAAGCCATGTGCAGGCCGGGCCCGCCTGCCAGCCTGTGGACAGGTGAGCACAGCGTGGCCAAGTCTGGCTTCAGGCTGTCTGCACTCTATGAATGATAAAGCTGAGATGTACAGGCAACTTTGTGCGGCATTGATGAAAACTGGGATCAAAGCAGTGTTGGAATATATAGCTGTCTCTGAGGATGAGATTTGTAATGAAAAAATGCTGTTAGTTTTATGCGTTGGCAAAAGCGCCTCTCTGCTTTGGCTCTGAACGTCGTACAGCCGATATAATGTGCTGCCTTGCGGTTTGAGAAGAATCTGATTATTTTTATGGCCCTAATAATGTCTGAATGGTAGTGTGTGTTCCTGTGCTTTGCCTGTGCCAGGGCATGACTGACATTATACTCCTAGAATGTGCTTCTTGTTTAAATATGAGAGGTCCTTTATCTCATCTTGCAAGTGATTTCTATTTTGAGGCTCCGAGTCCTTCAATACTCTAAAGTGGACTGAAAACTCATCTCAGCCTCAGATCTGACAGCTCATTCAGTCCAATATAATGAACAATATAAATGTGCTGTGTTTCAAACTGCTTATTCTATTAACTGTGATCAGCTGTTTGGATTTCCTGGTTGATGCTGGATCTGTTTTCACTGCAGAGTAACTGGATGTATTATTCATATCTCAGATAAGCTTTGACTCAGTATTTCAGTCATTTTAACATTTGCACAAATCAAACAATCTCTGGGTGCTGGGGGTTAAGCTGAAGGAGGTTCTAGTTAGTAGCCTACATATAGAAATCATATTCAGATTCTTTTTTTCAGCCCATGCAGAAGTTTATTTTCTGTCGTTCTGTGAATTTCCTCTCAGCACCGTGTAACAGAGTTTAATGCAGCCCTAAATTCCTCCTGCCCTATATTAAACTGTGTCACTTTATAGCACCCAGCGCCAGTGTAAAAGTAGCACGGCCACTCTGACGCCTCAGCTGAAGCTGTAACATGTTGACAGACAGACAGGAGACGACCTTAATGTACACAGTTATTTCAAGCTGAGACACTTTCAGATGAACACGAGAATGCATTTATGCACAGGCACACAAGTTCAGCTTTTTTTTCCCCTTTTCACTAAAGACGATCAAATTGAAACCATCCACACACACGCACACACACACACACACATACAGTGTTTATTATTATCTAGTCCCTCCCTCCTTTGCAGTCACTGTTCTCTTTAATGCCTCTGCAAATAGTGTTCAGCCTGGCAGGTGGGGTGCTGATGCCCCCTCTCTCTGTGCCCCTCGGTGCCCTCTTTGCCAGCCATACCCCCCCCCCCCC